TGGTGAACCATAAAGTGCTAAAACAGCACAATGGGCTTCATAATAAATTCCAAGGAAAATACTGTATTTACCTGTTTTATAGCTAAGAAAATGTTCAATAGGAACTACTTTTACAATATAAGGAATATTTCAGAGAATAAGGATAAATTTATTTTTTAATTAAAAAGAAAATCTGTTCTAAATTTTTATCAAGTTCACTCTCCTGCATCAAGACTGATAATCCCCCACTCAAGAATACACACACAAGTACATACATAAAGATCTACTAATGCATGCAAATGTATGCGTGTGTGTGTATAACATTATTATATGTCTAAGAGTGAGATGGTTAACAAAACTGCAGCTACTAAGATCAAGATATCATGAAAGTAGAAAATATAGGAAAACATTTTAAATTGCACCAAATATAGTTTTCACACATAGCCAACTGTCCCAGGAAGCATTCATTTCCAAAGCAAATTAATTCACATAAAAAGTCTCCTCCATTAGGTAACCATTCTCTCGATTTGCTGTCTTCTGTTGTTAGGACTCTGCGAGGGCAGCCTGAGTTGCTAAAGTAGCTTCTCCTAGGGAAGTTCTGAGGGGCTGGAACTGAAATGTCTTGGTGCTTACATTTGCTTATATAATAGCCTGGCCTTTACCAAAACCACTTCAATACTCAGGGGCATATTTCTCTGGGCCTGGTCCTGTCTCCACCTGTGTTGAAAGATTTTCAAGAAGCACTGGAAAGTCTCCTTTCTCTACACCACCCCTTAGGTTCCCCCACAGGCTAGGCGAGAGGGGGAAGGGAAGCATTAGCTGCAGTGGGGTTTACAGGGCTGAACTAAATCATACATAAAATAGAAAAGATTTTAAATAAAACAGAAAACAATCCTGTATTACCTCAAATCCATGGTTAGTAAGGAATTCCATGTGTGCACATGTACCCATGCCTGTGTGTGTGTATACGTGTGTGTGTGTGTGTGTACACACCTTTTAGTGGATTAGAAAGTCATTACTGAACAGCTACTTTGGCTAGTGGGTCACACAGAAGTATTTCAAACCCAACGATTCCAAAATGGCACCCATGTCTTTCCCTTAAAACTCCTCTGTGCTCCATAGTACAAGACTATTATCTTAGATTCTCAAACTAGAAACCTCAAAGGTCTGCTGTGATTAGTCTACTCCCTGCTTCCTCCTTACCCACTCCTCATGCTCTACTGATGCAGATCCAATGCATCCCTCAACCCCATTCCCATTGCACCACCCACATCAATTTCCAATTACACTCTTGGGACATCCACGTGACTGCTTTTAGCTTATAAATGCTCACCTTCCCACAGCATCGTCTCACTGCTAGAGCCACCCTGCTAGAGTATAGAGTTGTTCATAATGTTACCCTGCTTCAATTTTTTGATGATTCTTTAAACAGCCAACATATCTTAAGTCTTACCATATGCCAGCCATTGTACAAAGCTTCACACATATTACCGTATTTTCTCTTCATAACTATCTCGATAGGTAAAATTATTGTTGCCACTTATAGATGAGAAAATACATGGCCACAGAGTTTAGAGAGCTTGTTCATGGTCACTGGGATGCAGGTGGTAGAGCTGGTTTTCATCTTGGATCATTTCATGCTCTTGACCACACCATAATAAACCTTTCTTCTACCTGTTTCCTAATGATTCTCCAGTCTCTTTTGCAAGGAGCTCGTAGACAGTGAAGTTTTCCACATTCAGTGATTGTACAAGAGTCAAAACCCTTTAAGCCACTGGGGCAGAATGTAAGGTGAGGGCAAGTGGCTCTAACAGATGCCACCTAGAAATGTGTCTCTTATGACCCACACATGGTAATGGAAATATCTTGGTCTCAAGCAAAGAAAAATTAGCCCAACAAATGCTACCAAACTTGTGAGACTACTCTGCCCTATAGAATATGGAAGCACATTTCAGACAGTGGGTGTGTTAATTACACACCAAGTTAATCAGCTTTGCCTCAGCACTACCTTCCACAACGACTCCATGAGGACGCCTGGTCAAGGCTGGGTGGAGAAGTAGCAGACACAGACATGGGGATGGAATAACTCGGACTGCAGTTGTAGTCATAGCCTTGCTTGATAAAGGAACAGCCATATCAGTCATAGAACTCACCAGAAGAAACAAGCACATGAAAAAAGAAGAAAAGCTTAGATATTGCTAAAACTGCCCTGACATATTCTACACACAACTGTTAGATAAATATTTTATTGTTACTCCAGGAAAAGCTTTTAAAAGGAATACATACGCCAGCAATTATGGGGAAGGGAATGTCTCCTTCTCAGAGCTGGGAGGACTGTCGGCTCTCGCCTGCTAAGGAGAGGGTGGGTGGAAGCACACCAGCATGTGGGCTCAGACCTTCTCATGGGCACCGGACGGGCCCGAGTCCCAGGCAACAACTCTTCCTTATGTGTTAACAGAAAACACACACGAATCTCTCCTATGCAGCCTTCTGCGTGATTTGAATAAATCAGAGGCACTGGCTCATGTGTGCCCACTGTTGTGTTTCTGCCTAACAATTATCCAAACCCCACCTTGGCCCTAGCTGGGTTGGCTCGATGGATAGAGCATTGGCCTGTGGACTGAAGAGTCCCAGGTTCGATAGTGGTCAAGGGCACATGCCTGGGTTGCGGGCTCGATCCCCAGTAGGGGGTGTGCGAGAGGCAGCCAATCAATGATTCTCTCTCATCATTGATGTTTCTATCTCTCCCTCTCCCTTCTTCTCTGAAATCAGTAAAATTGCATTTAAACAAAAACACATCCAACCTTGAAGAAGACCTGGCTCCCTGAAGTGGGTGGTCCAATTGTTGGGGCTGGTGCTCAGCTCTACACTGCTAGCCCCTGCTATCCAGGCCTCAACCACTTCTGCTTGGAAAATTTAGACAGATATTCCACATCATGATCTTGTTTAAATTAAACTGGAGAAATTGCAGTATCCCAAGTTAATTGGGTGTCTTGGTTCAATGTTAAAGGTATTTAGAGCTTTTATTTTTTATGGGGCGGGGGGGGACACTTACCAGTACTATCTTAAATGCCTTCCTTATAGTCAATACAAGGTATTGAAGTGTGTATGTGTGTGTGCGTGTGTGTGTGCGATGTTCACATGTCCCTGCTATAAGAGGCTGCTTACATCATCAAAATATTACTATGAAAAGTGATCTTTGACAGCCAATTAACTATTATGAGAAAAGTATTATTTCTGAAATATTCAAATTTAAAAACCTGTTATTCCACTCAAAGTTACACATTTGGGATTTCACCTACAATTTGAAATGATAGAGAAATTGCTGCTTTAAAAGCCATCAACACAGTGCATACATAGTCATAAACGTGTCAGAAGCAGATGTATTTTATTAATAGCATCTGAAAGCATAAATACAAGTACAAATTGTGGAAATACTCATCCCCCTGTTACAGAAAGCCAAGAAGTAAATCCTAACCCTTAGCATTTTTTAAACCTACAGAGGGGCTCTATAGTAGTTTCATTCCTTTTCTTAAATGATCTTTAAAAATATACATGAGTCAGTTAAGAAAGGCATTTACTTGAATTAAAACGATAATTCTGCCAGGACCTCAGTATAATTACTTGTGGGTGGCAGAAGTTTTAAATGAGGCTAAGTTAGGGATTCTAGTTTATTTATCTATTTATTTATTTTTTTTTTACTCTACCACTGTAATTAGAGAAGCCTGGGGTTCCTGTTAAAATTGTGCCTTGTCATGGAACATCACACCTACGTGCTTTAATGACAAGCCCTATTGGCATATTTTTTTATTGACCAAAAATGTGGGCTATAATGCACACATACATCAATCCAGCCTCCTTCCTCCACACACACACACACACACACACACACTGTCATATTTGTTTTGTTCCTTTCATAGCCCTGACATTTTCACCCCTAATATTGTACTGTTCCAATTTATGTCAATGTCTTCAATGTCAAAGACAAAATGATTTTAGTCACAAAATCTGGTAACTTATTTCATGAAAGAACTCAAAACACACTACCTTCAAAATCTCTGCCTGCCTACGCTACCTGAACCAAGAGCTGAAATAGCCACATTTCACATACAAATATGTTTTGCTAAAAATGAGTCATCTTACTGTGGGGCATGTGCTGTAAATGATGCATCCTCTTTGCAGAGCTGACTGTGTCCACAGGCTGCAAGGCATCTCTCTATAAAACCGCAACCAGCTGAGCAACTGAGCTAATGAGTTTCAGGAGACAGAGCATCTATAGAATTTTGGGGAGAATTCTGCATTTAATATCCTTAACGCCAAAATGGGGAGTAATCCCATAGCGTGGCTCTTCTAAAAGTCCAATATAGCACAGAAAAAGTTCCACATGCGAAGTAATTTTATGCTAACCATTTAAGTGGCATTAGAATACTCCCACAGTCATGTTTGTCTAGCTGTCAAGATATTAAACACAAATACATTTTCAAAAGGCACCTGATTGGCCACTAATGTCTGTACCCTGAAACTAAAATATCAGAGGATACTGAGATGTTTTTCACCTTTAATGCTAACAGGAAGACTAAGCATCAGACACAAGCATTCAGCTGCTATTACACAGTGCATACCGTAACAGTGAAAAAATGTTTGTTCAGTTCATTAACTCCATCCATCTTCTGCCACGCTTTAGGAAGTTGTTTCATTAACCAGATGCATTTTCACCCACTGTTCTGAGCACAAAAGAATCACACAGCAAAGCACACTTCCTGCAGCCTAAATACAATCACCGTGTAGTCTTCCAAAAGGTGACTGTGGAATTAAAATCTGCGTTCCCAATTCCTGAACTTCAAAGCAAACACTGAGCGCCCTGTGGACAATGCAGCAGGGTGAACACATACCATGTCTCCCGGCTCGAACGTGAGAGCGCAGGACAAGACCAACAACACACAGACAAACATCCTGCAGGGAAGGATGCCGACGGCAAAGGAGCCAAGAGGGTGGGAAGGATTCAGGCTTGCTTTACCTACCGGCATCGTCCATGTCTCAGGAGTGGCCCGGCGAGCTCTGGAGCCTGGCAGCGGGAAGCCCGGCGCTCCTCCTGGCTAAGGAAGCACCCTGCCCTTCTGCTGATTATCGGTGCTTGCTGGCACACACAGCCTTCTCCATGCGCTGTCTGCAGGAGACACCGCCAGGAAATTTATATCTCCAAGGATGACAAACAGCCATTAGCTCCATTACAGGCTGATTAAGAGAGACTGAGCCTATCAAGTGGATACTTGAATCCTCTGGGGTTTTCACCTCTGTTCTAAGCAAAGGAGAGAAAAAAAAATCACTGCAGTGTGGAGTGGATTGCACGTTTCAGAAAGAAGCACACATGCTATGCAGAGTACATGCTGCTCCCCAAGGTGCCAGAGCAAACAGGAGCAGGGGAGGCAGAGATAATGAAAAGGTAAAGAGGCTCCGTGAACCATACACTAAATGGTCCTCCCCCTTGGGCAGGTCTAAAGGGGATCCAGCCTTCATCCCTGACATCACTGGATGACCCGGCAACTTTTCAATGTGAAATGTGAAAGTTTTCTTGTTATTGTTGTTGGGGGTGAGCAAGGAATGACAGATAAAACATTTTAAAATAAAGGCCATCTTCACTATTCTGCTCTGAGTATATGATAAGAAGCTGAGGCTTGCCATCCCTTCTTGGTTATGTTTTCATCATGACTAGGGTTTCTATTTCCAGTCAGGATTTCTTCCTACCTAGCCCGACAGGGAAAGTCAACGGGCTTTCACTAAATGGCACTAATCATGTGAGACGCAATAGTCAAAAGATGTCCAGGGATGCTACAGATGTTCTAATCTGTAGCCATTCTCAAAAACAGAAATGGGAGCATGAAGAAAAGTGCATTTACGAACACAGAGAACACCATTTCACTGCTTTTCTTTAATTTGGCTATGGAAAGATGACCCTCCAAGATACCTAACACTGCTTACAATATCAAGGCACAATGCCGGGCCGAGTGCTGAAGAAAATCATATGTCCTGTGGCCATTATGATAGGATATTGGAACGTGAGGATAGCACACGTGTATTTTCTGCATTTTCTCAGATACAGTAAAAAAAAAAAAAAAAAAAAAAATACAGCCGAAACCGGTTTGGCTCGGTGATAGAGCATCGGCCTGCAGACTGAAGGGGTCCCAGGTTCGATTCTGGTCAAGGGCATGTGCCTGGGTTGCGGGTATATCCCCAGTGGGAGATGTGCAGAAGGCAGCTGATCGATGTTTCTATCTCATCAATGTTTCTGGCTCTATCTCTCTCCCTTCCTCTCTGTGGAAAATCAATAAAATATATTTTAAAAAAATACAGTGGACTCATGATGCAATGAATCCACACTACAGTAAGATTCTACAGGTTTTTTATTTTGACAAGTTTTTTTAAAAAAAAAACAGTTCTGAGCGTAATTGTTCTGCCAGGGTTGTTGATTTTGAAAAGCAGCTAATTTACTTCGCATTTCTTTATGCCATTGGAATTTCTAATGACAAAGCATTTGCAAATTATTTGTGACATACTCTTCCATTTCAACAGCTTCTAAATTTTTTTTTGTTTTTAATGTAACTTCAGGCTTACCTATGGATTTGGGGTTATTGTTTAAGCAAAATACTTCACTTATGATATCATAAATAGTAGAGAAATAGTTTCCTCACAGAACAGTTGACTTTCTCAGTGATTTCGCCCTGTGATGTCTATTTCCATTATTTTAATTTTGTCACACAATTTTGAAGACATATCACTGTATTAGTTTCAAAAAAAATTCTTCATATGTTTTTAAAATGCTCGGGTCCCACAAGACTGAAATCACTGTGGCTTCCGTTCCTCATCTCCGTGCCCTGATTAAGACTGCTAACTACCCAGAGTATCAGCAGGAGGAAATCTAGGGCAACCCAACTTTTTTTAAAGAGAGGAGTTTGGGAAATATAAAGGGGAGAGAAAACACATCCTGAAGTCTGAGACTTCAGAACGGAGTAGCTAAGAAGTGTCACTACTGGCAGTGCCTGCTAACTAATAAGAATGTATTTCTATTGGCTGTGCACTCAGTTCAAAAAGTGGCTTTTGATTATTTTTATTAATACAGTCAGTCTCTGAAGTGCAAATGGATTGTGTTCCAAACGTTTGTTTTGTTGGTCATTTGAAAAACATACTTTCTCATAAACACTGATTGGGTTCCAAGGACAAACCATTAAACACGGCTTCACGCATGATGTGGTTTATATGAGATCCACAATCTCAGATACAGTTCTAAAACCCAGAAGGTTCTGGAAATCTTAAAGGTGTTTTCTCCTTTTAAGTTTGGCTCTGAAATGCATCTGTGTCACAGCCTGAGTTGAAGTGAGGCTATTTAAAACTCTTTACTTATCTCACTTAGGAAGCATAATTATGTTTTGCTTTGGAAATGTTGGTGTTACCGGGTATGGGCATCTGTTCAGACCCTTCTGAGGATATGGCACAAGCATATATTACCTTTCTAAAATGCAAAAATTCTGAATTTGGAAACACACCAGAGCCCAAGGGTTTCAGATGACAGACTATGGCCCTTCGCTACAATTTTGTGATTAAAAGGGCAGAAAAGAATCCTTTTTAGAGTTTTGCCACAGGATCCCCTTCCTTATCCAGGAACACCCTCCCTCCCTCACCTGCTAAGTACCCGAACCTCTCCAACCACCGATGATGTCAGACATAAATGAGGGGTAGGCAACAGAGAGAGAGGTCTAAAAATAATGACACTAATGCTGAGTGCCTGTGAGGGATGAGGATATTTAAAAACTACGTACATTGACAAGGACACATCTGCTTTCTGTCTCCCTGCCTTTGCCACCAGCACAAGCGCTGTCCCTCCTGGCACCAGAAGAAGACAAAGTGACAATGAAAAGCCTTGGTGGGTGGAGCATTGTCCGCAGGCTCCAGGGAGAAGCCACTCCCTCCCTTGATTTAGTTCAGACCCACAATTCACACACTCTCCTTGGGGAAAGCCTGAATAGAAAATGTTCACCAGGCCCTTTCTAATTGTCCCACAGACGTTATATGGCATAGCAGCATCAGTAAGCCTAATGTTCCACATCATGTTTTAAATATGAGCTTAGTTCCCATTTTTATCAATGTCCCTATATGTGTGTTCCTCCGCTTTCTTAGAATCAGACTGATCAGTTGGAGGCCAATGGTAGTCTGGAGCACTTGCATCCAAAACACCCTCAGTGCTGTTCCACCAACAATCCGCCTCCAGCTGGATTTTATTTTTTTCCGGCTGGATTTTTAAGGATGGTTTGCCTGAGGTTGGTTATAAGGTGTGTGTGACTCTGGGTCTGACCAGCTGAGGTGGCAAGGGCAAGGCTACCAGGGGCATCCAGCACCCCCTTCAAATGTATCACTGAGCATCACCTGGTGATCACCTGGCCAAAAACATTCTCTCTCTCTTCTCTCTCTCTCTCTCTCTCTCTCTCTCTCTCTCTCTCTCTCTCTTTTCTCTCTCTCCTCTCTCTCTAGTCTCTCTCCCTTCTCTCTCTCTCCCTCCCTCCCTCCCTCTCTTTTTCTCTCAGAAGAGAATGCCTTAGCTTCCTAGAGAAGTTTTTCTCATTTCATATTATTCCTGAACTTTTCTATGAGAAAGTTACCTGGATTTGGGGGACACAGGAAAGAGCTGAGGGGGGTGGAATCATGGTCTGTCTTTTCTGATTAAAATCTGAGCCCACGTGGACCCAGAGCAGTTCAAGTAGATGCTGTGGAGATCAAGAGGCACAAACGCTTTCTAAGAGGTGTAGCAACTCCAGAATCATCAGCTAGAAACATAATGGCTTGGCTTTCAGGGGACCAACTGGGATCCTTCTCTACAAAGTTAGACTCTGTTCCTTCGGGTGAAACAATGAAGAGAATGAATTGCCCACACAATTACAGTGCTTGGCCCAGCAGACCTCCAGGACACCCAGATCAGCCCAACAGACCTTCTCCCTTTCTGATTCATACAAACAAGTGAAGTGCCAGAATACTGACTACTGATTAGGAAGTAATCAAGCTCGCTCCCAGTTCCTTTGGGAACATTCTACTGGAAATCTGTTCTGAAAAGATTTGGCCACTGCTTTTACAAGAACCGCTATTGGATACAGATAGTTTCATTGAGTAAAGTGCTTGGATTTATAACTCTCCTAAGTACTAAACCAAATCCCTGAACTATTAAAAATAAAAAAGAGTTCACAGGAGAAAGTTTTGCAACAGAGAGTATTTCCATTAAAAACTGGGCAGACAACAACAACAACAACAACACACCAATTACACATTTAACTAATGTCCTATTATCCGCCTGTTAGGACAATAGTTGCTTGCCATGCTCCTGTATTTGATGATTCCTATTTTCCTTTTGAGATTTCCCTTCTGGTGGCATGGGGGAGGAGGGGCTCTCCTGAATTACTCATTAATGTTTGCTTCTCTTCTCTTATACATGGTCTTTAGATTATGTCTTCTATTCACACAGACAAATAACATGTTAATGCAGAGGCCACGGAACGTTTCAGCATGCTCGGAGCTGTGCCTGGTGTCTAGACCTTAATGAAGCTTAGCCATCAGGCACGGCCTTCTGGTCAAGGTGGTGTGGGGAGTCCATGCTTGGACACCACCCTCCTGCTCCAAACGCATAGTGACCATAGATAAAACATCACACAGGTCGGTCACAGCTGGGCTTGGAAGGCTAGATGATCGCTCCCATGAAGTAGAAAGGGGCCAAAAGCTTTTGAGCTTTTGACTGAGCACTGACTGAAGCTCCCGCTGAGCACTGCTGTGCTTTGTGGTGGAGGCGGGAGGCCAGGAGCACGGCTCCTACGTGTGATGGTTTAAAAGAGCTCCACTCGAGAAAGGGGGAGTCGAAACCAGGCTGAGGGGCTGCTTCAATGGAGCTTCCCAACTCAATAAAAGAAACTGGGAAATAAAATTAAAAAATAAAAGACTTTTGATCTATTTCTAGAAGCCGTAGCTTTATAAAGCCTAGATGTGCAGTGGGAGGATAAATCCTCACAACCAAGAATGAAGTAAGATGTGTGTGAAAAACAAATAGGAAACTATGAAATAAAAAAGGTGGATATGAGACAAGAATTGATGGATATGGAACATAACTTGAAGGAAATCTTGGAAATGAGAGACATGACATTTAGACCAACATAGATGTCTCATTAGCAATCAGAGATGCCAGAAAACAGGACGTTGCATTAAAATTATTTCTGAAGGGAAGCGAAATTATAAAACTATAAATCAACGCAGAATGATATATACTTACTGTTATCCAGATCAATTTTTTTTAATCACTTGAAGGATTTTAAAACTCAGTTTCTAGCAACTTTACATACACTTTATTATGGCAAATGCTCCAAAAACTATTGTTGGCAACAATACAGCCAGGTCACCAGAATGCAGAGGCAGGCATTTGTCTGATTTG